GGGTTACCTGAAGGAATTATGCAGCCACAAATGCCCGTCTATCCGTACTCCTCGCAGTCGATTGCCTCAGTGCGTTGATTGCCTCAGTACCTACCTAGCCAGTCAAATAGCCATATCTCGGCAGCACAGTTGCTTGACGTTGAAGGTGATTAGAGACATGTTTGTGAGCTTTCGGAGCAATCCCGCTGCACCCAACACATCAGCGGGCGTCAGCCGTGCCAGCTAGATCCCTTCGAGTCATGACAAACCCACACCACGAAATCGGTTCGTAAAAGAAACTACCATGTTTGGGAACGAGCTAGGGCGCACAATTTCATGTGTGGATAATGAGGTGAGCACGAGGCACGAGAACAAGCAATGCATGACTAGATTGTCCGAGCCGGACAACTTGTGTCTAACGTGGAACGGGAACAACACCGCGTTGGGCCGCGGCCCGTAATATGGGTGGAGATCGTGGATTTCCCCATGCATTCTCCACGATTCCTCCACGTATTGAACAATTGTGCCAGCCTCGGTGGGGGTCGTGCCAGACGTGGGGGATGAACCGCCAACGCCAGACGTGGAGGGCATACCCGGTGACCCCAATCCTTGAGGCCTGGTGGATCGTATTGTTACACATGTACCGCTGCATGGCAGAGCTTCACGATGCGGGGGCCATTGTTAAGAATGGGATGAATCATGAATGATTGTATGTGCTTCACGACTGCTTGAACTGTATTGAGTTCTATCACGACCAGCTTCGAATCATCTGAACACTATTGAGCCATTCCCGTCCTCTAGTACGTCATGGCTAAGATTGCGTCCGTGCGGTATTACCGCGTAAAGCCTCGTTGGCTCATGGTGAAAATCACCGACGAGAATGGCGAGTATGGTTGGGGCGAGGCAACGCTCGAGGGTCATGATCTGGCTGTTGAGGGCTGTCTTGAGGAGATGATCCCTAGGATAGTCGGTCTTGAAGCAGGGTAAAGTATTCAACTTACTTTTCGTAAGACTTTGTCTGACTTCTGCCCAGCAACATTGAGCACATTTGGCAAACATTCTGGCGCCATGGCTTCTATCGAGGAGGCCCCGTCTTCATGTCAGCAATGTCAGGCATTGACATTGCGTTGTGGGATCTGAAAGGTGTGTGCAATATTCTACACGAAGACTCCACATAGCCGAGAAAAATGTCTAATTAGTCATGATCTATAGGTCGCAACCTGAAAGTTCCCATTTACGAGCTACTGGGCGGCCAGGTCCGCAACAAGGTTCAAGTGTACTGCTGGATTGGGGGCGACAGACCATCAGATGTTGAGGCCGCAGCGTAAGTATCCCGATATTCGGCAGGAAGTTACGATACTAATAATCCGTTCAGAAAAAAGCGCATTGCTCAAGGTCTGACATGCGTCAAGATGAACGCAACAGAGGACATGAACTGGGTTGACTCTCCCAGAGTCCTGAAAGACACAGTGGAGCGTCTCAAACAGGTCAAGGCTCTTGGTCTCGACGCTGGTCTCGATTTCCACGGTCGCCTGCACAAGGCCATGGCAAAGCAGCTGGCCAGAGCTCTAGAACCATATGAGCCCCTATTCATCGAGGAGCCCCTACTTTGCGAGCACCCGGAAGCCATCAAGCAGCTCTCAAATCAGACGACGATTCCGATTGCTTTTGGTGAGCGTCTTTACACGAGATGGGACATCAAACGCTTCCTAGAGGACGCCAGCGTCGACATCCTTCAACCGGATATTGCTCATGCTGGAGGTATATCCGAAACAAAGCGCATCGCTACAATGGCCGAAGCCTATGATGTGGCAATTGCACCCCACTGCCCCCTTGGTCCCGTCGCCTTTGCGGCAAGCGTACAAGTCGCCTTATCAGCGCCCAACTTTTCTATTCTTGAGATGAGTCTGGGAATGCACTACAATACTGAGGCAGGAGATATCGATCTCTTGACATATCTAAAGAATCCCACGGTGTTCGATATCGAGGGCGGTTATGTAAAAGCGCCGACGGGCTACGGGTTGGGCATTGATATCGATGAGGAGATGGTTATCAAAATTTCCAAAGAGACAGAGCCGTGGCAGTGCAAGGTTTTCCATGGCCCCGACGGCAGCATCAGAGAATGGTAGTTGGACGGCTCAATAGTTGGAGTTGTACTATAGCTTTAGCAACAGCATTAGTCCAATTGCTGTCATCAGCATCCCTCGATATATGGCAGTTATCTGGAAGCGCATTATTTGCCAAACCACTGCCATTATATCACTTCCAATAGTCCGATCAAGTTGTTTCCGAATCATTTCCGCAAGTTCGGTTGTGCTTTGAGCTATCGTTGGAGGGCTTTGCTTGCGGTCCTCTTGCCACTCGACATTATTTGACTCTAGAGGTCAGAGCATATCCAACCTCGGCATGATGTGCGTAAATGCATGACATTACACCATCAGAGGATCGGAAAATGTCCGAACCCCCACGCCACATCACACCATGTTCAAACAGAGGAGTTCTTCCTGGCTCCACGCCCATCTGGAATCGAGCGTCAGTCAGACCTGTGGCCAAGCGGGGAAAGCAAGTGCCGTTGTATACAAGACACATCAAGATGTGGGGTTCACTCAGCTCAAGATGCCATCCCATGAGCAGTGCTTTAGTTTGCAGATCATGTCGATACTATTCTGGACCAGGTGTTACTTTATGTTGTATTCTCACATCTCTACTTGACTAAGTGAACAGCTTCAAGTATCATCGGCCCATCCAGCCCCCATCGACAGTAAGCAGCTCTCCCGAAACGTACAAACTCCCCGCCCCCGCGAGGAACACTGTGGCACCCTTGAAGTCATCCGGGGTACCCCATCTTCCCGCGGGGATCCTGGCCAGAATACTTGCCGCCCTCTCCGGATTATTGATCAGCGCCTCATTCATATCTGTTGCAACATACCCAGGCGCAATGGCATTCACGTTGACACCCTGGCTCGCCCACTCGTTGCTCAGCGCCTTGGTCAGCTGTGCTATGCCGCCCTTGGCCGCTGCGTAGGCCGGCACCGTGATGCCTCCCTGGAAGCTGACGAGCGACGCCACGTTGACGATGCTACCACGGTGGCCGTTTATCGAGTTGGGGCTGCGTGTGAGCATGTAAGCGCCAAAGTCTCGGCAAAGAGTCCAGACTGTCTTGAGGTTGACTTGGAGGACCTCGTCCCAGTCGCCCATGGGGAACTTGTGCGCGGGATGTCTGCGTTGAATGCCGGCACAGGTGACTAGAATGCTGACATCGTGGCCATCGGCTAAGATGCGCTTCGACAAGCTCTCCACTTCCTCTTGATTTGAAAGGTCTGCTGTGTAGATGAAGGTTTTTCTGCCCAGAGCCTCGACTTGTGTTTTCGTTTCAGTGTTGCTTTCGTCTCTCTTTCCTTTTGTTAACGTCAAGCTACATATTTACGTGGTCATGCTTTCTTACTTGGATGAGGATGATATCTGATCCTGCTTCTGCAAGTGATACTGCCATGGCCTGGCCAATTCCCCGTGTACCTCCCGTGACCACGGCTGTGCGGCCTTCCAGAGAGAAGAGCTTTTCCAGAATAGTCGGCATAGTTGCGGTTGTCTGAGTAAATGTTGCCAAACAATTTGCAACACTCTTTCCTCCTGGATATTCTTCATATGCTTATTGGAGTTACTACCCTGATGAGCTTCATGGAGATCAAAAGCCCCCCCCCCCCCCCCATCTACCTACGACACGTTCATAGACCCCCACGTCGGTGCCCAGTCGTCCCCGCATGATTTGCCGCCAGCTACACTAGATTCGATTGTCGGCTCGAAACGGGTTTCTGCATGGAGCCAAACTCAGGTGATTCGTGCGCCGTCTCGTACGGTAGGATGCGAGTTGAGGTACCTGCGGGGAAAGCTGACTTGAGATGTCAAGCCTTGAGAGAAGAGAGGGGAGCAACCACCAGAGACGCATCAGACCATTTCCGATCGAGTACACACAACCTCTTCGCGGATTCGTGGTCTCGCGTCCGACCCGCTCCCCGCATGAATTACGGGATGGATGGGGGTCAGCCCCGCAGATCCGGACCCGCAGAGCCGCTCGGACGTCGGGCTAGGCCCCGAACAGAAACGCCAGACAAGCCAGAAATACATAGATCCCTCCGTGGGGGTCAGCTCGTTTCCTCTTCCGGGGATAGTCTGGCCTTGTTGGCACGTCGTCAGAGTTTAGTCGCGATTAGGTCGGGGCACGAAGCACGGGGTTTGATGCGGGGTTTGAAGAGGCGGTATTCATTGGGTGATGGATGACAAGAATTGCCATGGTGATCATTTGACGACAAGTGAAAAGAGAAGGAAGGAGGTTTATGCAAGACAACGAGATGAATCATCACGAGTTGAGGTGAGAATGACGGTCACGCGACACTGTTCTGAGAGCGTTGGAGACTTGGATAAGGCGGGGAAAGGCAGACGGACTTCTCCAGCCTGTCGCCGTCTGTGAGTGCTAGAAACCTGCATCATAGCTGTAGAAGGATCGACAGCTTGCATCAGGGTGAAGAGGCAGAGTGTTGAGGCTCTGAAGAACAGCTTTCGGCTTCGATACATGAACGTACCTTATTCAACGAAAGTCTCAAATCACAGATGGTGAGTCATTGTAGCCCTTCGAGATAGAAGGTGTACTAAGCAGGTGTCTTTCGATCCGTAACAGCTTCTTCAATTCTGTTACACGCCCATTTATTGTTCCAAAGGACTGTATTGTCGTTCGAAAACTTGGCTGAACTCCGAGCTAGATAGCAGTCAGGCTGACATGTTGGTTCATGGCCTGGCATGCAGGGGTGGTGCTGTATGCAGTTCCAAAATGCCGATAGCCGGGCCACGGCAGAAAACCCACCAAGTGACCACGTTGTCCAAAAATGTCATGAGCTCCCAAGATATCGCTTTGCTGCGGTCCTTCAGTCCAAAGAACCAGCATGGTCTTGCGCTGTTTTCTCAAGTCGAAGCAATGGAAACTACATACAAAATCATCATTACGGGCTGCACTGTGGCCGACAGTCATGAGCTGGCTGACCAGAAACAACATCCCCGCCTTCTGGGCAGATCCCCACTGGCAGCTCGCCTGGTGCCATCGGACCCTTGAGTACCATATCATGCAGATAGCCAAGCGAACGCCGCGAAACCTCATCAGTGACCCCGATACGAAGCGACATCAAAAGGCCGTGGATTCCGTCACCGGGCGAATAGTGGGATATGCCCGGTGGATTCTGCCCGCATCCCACGCCAAGAGCATCGGCGGGGCCCCGGCTTGGCCCGATGCCGTGGTTCCGTCTGTCAGCCAAGAGGAAGAAGCGGAGATCCGGCGCGTTGCCGTGACAGCTCATTGGGATCCTAACGAGGAGTCGGACGATTTGCTTGTCCCTATTCGGGAGGCGGAGGATGAGATTCTAAGCAGAAGAGCTTACATGCGTGTGTTTTTCCTCTAACTTGCGGCTTCCATCTCCCAAGTGCTTATTATGCTTGTCACGTAGGACTGGACTACCTGGCAGTTCATCCAGACAACCAAGGCAAAGGCATAGGCACTGCTTTGATCAAAAGTGGCATATCAAAAGCCGAAGAATTGGGCCTTGCCATCTTCATACATGCTATGGAGGACGGGGTGGACCTCTACAAGCGCCTTGGCTTCGTGATCGGAATAGACTTTCTCTAAGATGATACCAAATACGGCGGAAACGGGCGCGTTTACAGGGCTCTTATGATCTTGAAGCAAGAATAAACGCAATGAGTGTTTTGTCGAAGCTGTATCAGAGGATCGAACAACATCATCTATGCAGAGGCATTAAGACGGAAAGATTGAAAGGGCGCCTCGCATCGTCGGAGTAGTACAGCACCCATTTCTAAATTGGGAGATTCCCCAACCAATCCACTGAATATCAGCCAAAGTGCATGCAGTAGGCGACAAGGTGACGCTCAATTTGTCGACGGGGAATTGGGACGCGACCAATGCCATTCATTCCAACACTTGTCTTGCCAGTATGTTCAGGTGAAAGCTCATTCAATGATCAATACGCTATGATTCTCTTGAAACCTAAGCCAAAACCCACCTTGTTACAAGCATCTATTTTTGCAATGCCTTCTCAGCCTGAATCAACTCTGAAAATCCGTCAACCTGTTTTGTCAGGCTCTCTCCCTCAAGCAATGTACAAGGCTTCCTCGGAAGCCCTCCATAGCCGTAGTACTCCTGCAATGCTGCCTTGACTGAGACAAATCCTCCTTGGATAGCAGTCCAGTCACCGCGGGCCACAACTGCCTGCAGCTCTCTCGCTTCTGCCAACTTGCCCTCATCCCAAAGCTGCATCAGCCTCACACAGACAAGAGGTGCAATATTTCCGGTTCCACCAATAATGCCATGGCCACCGACGACGAGTGTTTGCAGAGTGAAATCGACGCTACCGCCAAATGTCCGGAATGGTGTCGTGTTGTTGTCGCCCTTCTTGGGGGCTGTAGCAGCAGCTATCCGAGCCAGCTTGCCAGTGTTACCGCAGGTCAGCTTTACGCCGACAATGTTGGGGTGACTCGAGAGGTTGATGATGGTATCTGAGTTGAGATCGAGGCCGCTGCAGGCGCCAGGGTAGTTGTAAATGAGAAGAGGAATCGGGCTTGCGTCTGCGACTTCGCGGAAGTGTTGTAGGATGAGGTCGGTGGTGAGGAGGCCACCGTAGTAAGCTGGTGGGAGGACGAGCGCATAGTCGCCTCCTGATGCACCAGCCTCTTTGCAGAGCTGAATAGTTTCCCTTGTCGACTGCGCGCCGCAACCGACAATCAGAGGTAGTTTTGTCTTTCCTGCTGAATCGAGCGCGGCTCGTGTGGTGCGGTTGATGAGTTGTCTTTCATCGTGGTCGAGGTGCACTGCTTCGCCGTTGGAGCCGTGGGTCACAAGGCCCGCGACGCCGGCTTTGGCGAGACGGACGGCGTGGGAGCGTGTGGTTTCGACGTCTACTGAGTCGTCGGAGCGGAAGAATGCCACGGTCGGGACGTAGAGGCCGGGAGTCAGAGCCGGCCGTGCTCCGTGCTGTGTGCCGTTGCCATTGTGACTGGCGGGACCGCCGTTTGCTGAGGGAGACATTGTGGACTGATTCTGCGGGTTTGTGGCACGAGGGAGCAAGTAGTTTGCGGGAGCAGATTCAGGAGCAGCGGTGGGATGTGAGGAGAGTTTTGGTGGATTAGCTTACTCGCAAACAAAGCTTTTGTAACAAAGAACCCATCCAAACTCAGAATGCAAGGAAGTCAGACAGGCCAGCGCAACATGGATGATCATGGGATCGACTTTCGCCCCCTTCCCTTGTGTCGGTGTAAGTCAGGCACGAAAATAGGTAACATAAGCCGTAGGAACGACCCATGTAACCACGTAGTCCGAACCCCCACGCCGGCACCTCTTCCAAGACGAGTCTAATGGTAGACTATTTCGTCGTCCGAAGCCATCGAAAAGCCTCCTCCCTACCCCCCACAGAACGGAGGAAACGAAAGTATCGGAGACTAAACCCGCGGGGGGCGGTTTCTGGTACCAAATAATTCTGGTTTTCCCACCTACCAACCCCATCAGACTCCACTGTTTCTTCTCCACAATGGTTTGCCCAAGCAGATCATGTATCTGGACTGTTCCGGGCCGGAATCAGCGTGTTGATCAGTCGAGATGGTGACATTCGCGGTGGAAACCGGCGTGGTTTTATTTTCCTTACACACGCGACTTCGCTGAATTTGTCGCTGGTTGGAGACCATTGTTTTGTGTGACGCAGAAAAACCAGCATATGCCAAAGACTTTGCTCTTCCCCGTGGGGGTATTGTTGTTTCTTGTTTGCACGCGACCATGCGAGGTACGAAGCCAAAAGTAGAACATACCCATCTCGCTTCTCTTGCGCTTCCGCTAACCCTTACCCGGCCTGGCGTATGTCCGGTCAGATTTCATCTCACACTCTGCAAATGGATCGACGCTGGCCCGGCTATGTTCGGTAACCCAACCCACGTTGGCCCTCTCAACCTTTTCTTGGTGACCGCTTGTGCTCCCGACCAACCCCCAGGCGCCTCGGCGGCCCAGGGCCGCTCTCTCAGCTTTGCATGCGCGACCAGGTGAGACACTCGAGGCATCTTTCCGCGGGGATGGGTTGTCATTCCCGACTTCTCGGGCGAGCCTCCCACACTGGCAACGGAAAAACGAGCCCGATATTGCCACTTGGTCCAATCGGGGAATAGCACATGATGACTAGTGGGATAGTTGCTGAATTGGACGAACACCCTTCTCTCCCGGGCTCATCTGGGAGCCATGCTGCGCTTTTGTATCCCGCTGTATACCCTCCATGGGGACCCCGAACATACAAGGCGTGGACGAAGGGCTCGCTTGGAGCCAGACCCAGAACCAAAAGTGCCTGACTCCCACAGTGCAGGGACAGCAGATCTCCAAGAGTCCAGAACGTCTCATGAATCTGACAGTCACGGCAATTCCTGACGGCCAATCACCCACCACCTCCGAGCTCGCCCGCGGTAGAACAGATGACCAATTGAATTACGTAACTGGGGGCAAGACTTCGGGCTTCTTCACCGGAACTTATAAGTGGCTTTTTCGTACGTTGGAGTATGTGGACCACCTGGTCCGCATCACGAGGTTGAATTCTTTTTTTTTCCTGGTGGGTTGTTTATTTTTCCTTTCATGTTCGGTGGTTCGGTCGGTTGGTCAAACAGCATCACTCTTCTTGATATGCCCTCATTTGCCTGAGCGTGATGGGCGATGAACGGGAAATCGCAGATATTACGCTTCAACTTTTGGCCAGAGCGGGAAAAATTACACAAAAAGAACAGGGTACGATGCCTTCTACAACACTGGCATCGAGAGTCCGGACGGGAGCAGGAGCAAGCGTTGGTCAGATCAGCTCAAAGACCGCACCAGCACATAGCGGGGTAGGGAATCGCCAAGGATCATACGAGCACAGAGGACGACACAAAAACATCAAAGACGCAGCTCCAGAAACTGCCCAAGATGCTGGAGATCAAGGCCTACAACCATCAATCACGCCTACAGAGACCATGAAGATTTTGGGTCCTCTCCCATTGCGGAGGGCCTGGAGGGTCAGGCCCGGCCGGGCATCACCAGACATCTCACAGACGCCTGTGTTGGAAGCAATTATGCTTCATGAGCGTGGAGTCCTGCAAGGCTCTGAGGATCAATGCTCCAAATGCCGAAGGGGAGACGGGATCTCACCAGAGTGCGTCAAAATGCCGGGCATCTACAACGGTGCGTGCAGCAATTGTCTGCTGGCACGCACATCAGATCGGCCAGGATCATCGTCGAGGCCGGTACGGAGCTATTCCGCCGAACGACGGTCCATCTCCGCGACGATATCACCATCCATACCAAAGGAGGATCTGATTGCTGTGTGGAACCTCATTGCGGGCGTAATCGCAACGCAACCCCAAGAATGTTTCACTGAGGACGGATCAGAGCCACCGGGGAAGAAAATCGAAGACGCGGCTCGATTAGTGGCGAGGTCGGCAGACGAATGGGGTCATACGATTAAGGAGGAAGAATCAGATCCTGGGAAGACACCCAAAACGCCTTCGGAGAGAAGCAGGCTTGTCAGGCAAGCTACCAGAATCCGAGAGACAGCGTTGCAGATTGCGAATTGTGCGAGAATCTGGGGCGAAAAGTTGGAGAGGAAGAAGTCTTCTTCACAACTACGGTGAAGGAGAGAGTTGCGGTTAGACAGTACGCAACCACAAAATCACAAGTCAAGCACCTAGGTAATTGAAAGCGACATGTCCATACTTACTAGGACTATGGTCAAATTTAACATGATTCAAAGTCACATATGCCGAGTGAAAACTCTTCTCTGCGTGCAATTACCTGGCCCGTTTTCCTCGCCGTCTTGCAGCGCAAATCCACCCAGGGGCAGAGTAGACACGATGCTACGCGCTTTGAACCCATCAGTCGCACCGATGATATCATGCTCCAAAGGACAAACAAATGGCTGAAGCCCCCCTGAATACCCCACGGACCCGAGACGAAGGTCGACCGAGATTCACCACACTGAGGCCTCCAATCACGAAAAGAAGGTTCAGTACCGGCTTCCCCGCGTCGGACCAGGACGATGGCCGAGAAATGAGGGGGAAAGATGGGGTGATGGGGCGCAACGTCGGACACCTCTCCGAACCCCTGGTCACAGTCCCCGGATGCAACGCCCGGCGACCCCCATCTAACCCCCAAGGAGTCTTCCTCGCCCGTTCCCCCACGATACACGGGCACACAACACAAGGTTCGCCGATCTGAAGGTCACAGCGAAGGAATCTCTGGGGTAGGTGCCCTGGTGGCTTCTCCGCCTCCGCACCGAACATCGGGGGCTGAAGTCAGTTGCCGGCCGGTATTCGCAACAGGAATCTGACGGATTAGTGTACAAATACTAGGTCGAGTGAGGGGACCATACCAGAAGTGCATGCTACAGAGCACAGCTGAACGCCAACCGAAGTCTTTGCGCCGAAACAAGGTCCAACGAGCACCAAGACTTCGATAATGACTGCACAAGGCCAGCAGATCGAGGTCCTCCTCTACGGGTTGGGGGCGTGGGTCACTCACCCTGAATTCCTATTCGGATGAGAAGCTGACACCATCTGTTCAGCATTGGATCATTCTACGCCTTTATTCTAAGCAGAGTACCGCGTGTT